AAGTTTTGTTTTCCGTGGGCCAAAAGCCCACGGAAATTGTCAGTATTAATTTAGAACAGCCACGAAATTTCAATGGCCTGTTTCGTGATTCAGACTTGTGTCGTGGTGCCTGCACAATATAAATCACAAATATTATAACCAGTAATAGACGCCGGCGATATAAACTCTGCGCCCACTCTAGGATTAATTTACTTCAGTGGGTTGCGTTTCCTGAATTGCAGAAGTTGGTATGCACGATACGAATTCCTGGCAGTAGTTCAGCTGATGCCTTCTCACTTGTTCAAATGGCATTTCGCAATTCTAATCTTGAAAGGCGAATAAATTGAAAGAGCAGAGATTACCTCATCCGTGATGTATCATTCTATGTTCTGTAAGTTCTACTTCTGCATTTTTGTTTCAGTGAGTGCGTTGAGTTTTACATCTGCCTTGTTGCTTGGTGTTTATCCGCCTCATTTGTTAACCTCTTCGAACTCAAGACAGCCAAGTTTAGCGAAAGGCAAATTGCAGTATTTTTCTTTCATTCATCCATTCTTCACCTGTTCCCTCTCTTTTCCTCTCCATTGTCTATTTGTTTGTTTCCCTTCATTTGTTCTATTCTTTCTTCATGTTTTCATTTCTTTTACCTTTCCGTCATCCTTCTTCCACGTCTATCTTTCTTCTTCCTTTCTTTCCTTCCTTTCTTTTGCGTGAAGTTGGACGCGCCAGTATTGCGTCACATTTTCAGGGAGTAGGGGCAGACAAAGGCGTTGTGTTTTGCATGTGTTAATTTACGTATTGCATGACTCTTGCGGAAAGGGATGACACAACACTGGAATGCATGAGCGCAGCGCTCCCGTGACGATCCCACAGCTCTGACACAAGTGCTTATTTAATGTGAGAAATATTCAGTTCAGGGTACATATCAATAGTTTCACATAAGTAAACGCAGCTCCATGGAACATGGTGTAAGCGAGACGGGTTTTGTACACAGCGAGCGACTGTAGCTCTACATTTCTATATCCAAAGTTTATGACAAGAATATCGGCCATAGTGTCGGATATTGTGATCTGGATTTTAAATGGTGTTTAAACACCTGAAGTGTCGGAGAATTTAATTAAAATATGCTACAAATCTTTATTTACACGTTTATTCCAGTTCATTGATAATTCTTTTGGCGCTGTATCGACTTGAAAAAGTTTCGATTATATTAAAAATAAACAGATTTTTTTTTGGCATGGAATGCAAAAGTATGATTATGTTGCAGAATTCTCGCTGATGCGAGATGGAATCTTCGTTTTTAAATTCAGTTTAATCTCGAGAAGAATTCATCATATTCAATTACTCCAAACGGATATTTCCACGTCCTATGTTAAGATATTCTCTTTGAATTTTGTCGCAAGAGAATGGGATGTAATTATACTCCTTATTATCCACAGAAGTCGCAAGTTTTTACCGAAACTGCTTAAGCCTAATAAGAATATCGCTTTATTTTGTAACCTATTATGAAAGAAAACTTTAAGAAACTTCGAATTAATAAAACTTGAAACGTTACTTGCTGTTATATATATATGTGTGTGTGTGTGTGTGTGTGTG